ACATTTTTTTTTTAAATTTTCAAAATAAATTTCCTAGGAATCCCTTAATTCATGATATATAGTGTTTCCAGCAATATTATACAAGGATTATTTTATCCGAAAATAATAAACTTCAAACAAGTCACAAAATGTGTATCTTTAAACGGGCTCGCACCAAAGCTAAAATCTTCTGAATTCTCACTTTCACCAAAATACCGTCTTGTTAGAATGTCCAAGGTCTGCGGCCAAAATGTTTGCGTGCCCTAGGCTTTAATACACCCTCCAAAATACTTTCGCGATAATATTCGGCATTTATTCGGATGTCACGGTCGGTTAATATGAGCGGAGAGCGACCATCGGCTGTTATGGCGGCCCACACCATCACCATGGCCGGCGCTTGAGTTCAGGCAGCCAATAGAAGGTGCACATTTTCAGCTGATCTCTTTGGCAAGTTAACACGATCATTTTGTTCGTTTACTAAACTACTGGATGAATTCGGCAGTTCACCAATTTCGACCAAGCGAAGCAACTCCTTAGCTCTTTTGAGTCTATTTTTTCTGTTGCGGTGTAAGTTCTTGGAATTTCAATATTTGCTGAAAGGAATATTATGATATGTTCAGCTCACGAGTCAATTTTTGGCACTGCGAAGCGGGTTTCGACCAAGTCGGATGTTGCTGTTTTCTTCCGTCTATCTCCTTGACGTCGGGCTACGCTAGCAGTATCATGGTGACGAGCACACATTATTATTATTCAGATTTAAATGCTGGAGTGCTCTATCGATAGCCACTTGTGGTTTTCCAGCCAAAAATATATATAAAAATCACGTTTGAATTCCATAATGCATCATCTTGATGCATAAGATACATGAAGTCAGCCTAAAATATATATGGGAGCTATATCAAAATCTGAACCCATTTCAATATAACTCGGCAAACAAATTTAGACCAAATTCCATCACACATTACCTGCAAAGATAATTTTCTGTCATGGATTGTAGAACCTTTAACGAAAATTCGTTACGAAATTTAAAAATATTCCGATGATCAATTTCGCTAAAACCATCAAAATACCGAATATAGAGAGATCTAGTTCATGGGGGGGCTATAAGTAAACGTGGACCTATATACCATTTTCAAAATCAAAAGCCATGAAGACGAAACACACATTTTAGTAAAATTTTATCAACCTACTTTAATTCCTTCGGAAGCTGATTTCCACAGAAGGACAGACAGATCCTTATCAAGATTATATACACTTTTTATGCACTCAGCCATATGGCTACAGAGGAAATCGAAATTTTCACAAAAAAAATAAATATATTTTTGCACAGAAAGATAAAGGATAATCCAATTTTTCTCCAACTTTGCGAATCCTAATATTTGCGTCAGTGCTGGGTCAGGTGTGAAAATGGACTCCATCGAGTACCTCCCCCACAAATGGTGAAAATTTTGAATAATTACAAATCTCATGAAATGAGATGTAAGGGTCCGATTGTCTTCCAATTTCACACATACCAATATCTATACTAATACAAGGTCTGGTGATAAGATGGGATATATCGGTCCAATATATATGGCCATAAGGGGTTAAACATTTGAATAATCATAACAGAAGTCAAAATATTTTTAATATTCGTACATTGGTTAAGGGTATACATCTGTCGGTGAACCCTACAGATATTCTTTTTAACTTGTTGGAATCTAAAATTTATATTTCGAGCTTTTACAAACGAAATGACAAACTTAACATACCCTCCATACTATGGCGGAGGGTATTAATATATGTGACAAAATTAAAAAAATATATATACACATTTTCGCTGACGCATTTTTCAAAATGTTTGCCAACATCTGGTTTAAAAAAATAAATCTGGATTGTTTTCTGAAATATGTGTTTTAGATCCAAGGTTTATTGGGTAAAAATTCACCTTAAGAATGTTTGCTTAAAAGGGGTGTTTAAAGTATTAGTACCATTTTATAGTCACAACGACTGTAATTATTTATCCTATACTAGTCAGTAGAGAATATCATCGCAAAAATGTTTGATAAGCATAGACTTTGGAATACCCCTCAAAACTAAACAGTGGCATTCTGAAAGCCATAAAAAGCTATTCAACCGAATGGACTCCGACTTAGTATTTTATAGAATATGACATATGACCCAATTCGATCAATATATATTTCATTAAAACCGAAAAAGTAGCAGCGGAAAATGTTGTTTTTTGTTTTTTACAAAATGTTTTTTATACCCTACAACACTATGTGTACAGGTAGTAATTATAGACCAATCGTAGCGAAAGTTAGCATGGGACTAGAGCTTAGAAGGCTTCCAATTTTGATGGTTATCGGGTAATATTTAGGGATTGAAATAGACCATAACATTTGCGTTAAATAAAAGTCACATTTTCAATTAAACCAGATTATTTTAATCCCGGCGAAATCACAAATTTTCGTAGATGATGATTCTAAATATATCGGATATATATAGTGAAATATATACAATGTGGACATACAAAGAAAGGGAATGTTAGCAAGAATGCTTATATCTCAAGAATGGCTGGACCTATTTTGACAAATTTTATTAATTCGGAATGCGCTCTTGGCATAAAAGAAAAAAAAAAATAAAAAAAATCGCACAAAAAGCTGCCAATAATGAAGTTGTGTAGTATTTTGTGTACCATTTTTTATTTTTGCCTATTTTTTATCGCATTCGATTTTTTTTTTAAATTTGACTTACAATATTGAAGTATACATTTTGTAATATTTTTTTCACCTTACAACACAGGTTGGGGTTATTACATACAGATTGCAATTATCGTCCGATCCTCATGTTGATATAGATTTTGTAGTATTTTGTGACAATTTTTTTTTAAATTTTTTATCGCATGCGATATTTTCAATTTGACTTATAATATTTAAGTGTTTATGTTGTAATATTCTTTCAACTTACAACACAGGTTGGGGTTTTTTATATACAGATTGTAATTATCGTCCGATCCTCACTAACATTTTCACAAGGGTAGGATTAGGCTCAGAAGGGCTAGGCCTACTGTTTTCAAATATGTCCGCAATATATTTAGGGGTTGAAATGGACAAATAACTAAAAATGTTCCTGATTTTGCAGTTGTTATAAAGGCCATAAATAGAAGCCAAAGGACACGCATAATGTTAGAGCATCAGCGGGTAGAATGGACCACTACTTTTGTGTGAAAAAATACCAACATTTGCATTCTACCGAAACGATGAAAATAACATACAGGCAATATCCAAAATACACAAAAAGCGAACTTCTGGCATTTTTATGCTAACTTTGTTGACGAATATAGCCAACTATTGTAGACAAGCTAATCATATAGATGTGTCTAAATTTAGAGATAGAGAGGGGCTTCTTTCATTTAGGAGATGATCGCAAAATATTTAGGGGTTCAAATGACCCAAAAACAGAAAAAATTTCCTGATCACACAATTGAAGCCAATCGACACGCTTGAGATGAGTTCTAGCTGGACAGGAAAGAGTTCTGGCATTTTGGATGGCTATTGGATTATATTTGGCAGTAAAATCGACCACACAACTAACAGTACGAGTCTCTTTTTAATATGCTAAGGGTATTATCTGGACAGTGCTCCATAAAATAATTTCACATATTGTAGTTTTGTATGGTATCACATTAAAAATCACGCTGGAAGTTTTGTCCGACTTATAAATGCGCCCACAAAGGGTACACCCCAACCTTACTTCCCTGTTATGACCGTAGTAACTTATATTTCCCTTAGTTTATCATACAACAAAATAATGTTTGAGGTCACTTACAGGGTGAGATGAAAAAACTGCAACCAAATTCAGACTGCTGTCGTTTCTAAGCCATTCGTCCGACAGCTGTTAAAATTATTCCAGAGACAGCTCATTATATTGTTTACAAGCGTACAAAAGCATTTGGTGAGAATTTCCAGGAAAAATTATTCGTGAAATTCAAGCGTGATTGTGTGATTTCCTTATATTTGGCTGGAAAACCACAAGTGAGAACTGCAGCATTGAAATGTGAATAAATCTGTTGTGTCTCGTACCATCGGTCGTTACCGTGATGCTCGTAGCGTAGCCCGACGTCAAGGAAGTGGACGGAAGAAAACAGCTACATCAGCAGAAATGGTTTGAAGAGTAAAGACACGACTTGATCGAAACCCGCGTCGCAGTGTTCGAAAAATGGCTCGTGAGCTGAACATATCGCAATATTCCATTCGGCAAATATTGAAAAATGAGCTCGGGGTAAAACCATTGAAATTGCAAAAAGTGCAAGAACTTACACCGCAACAGAAAGAAAATAGACTCAAAAGAGCTAAAGAGTTGTTTCACTTGGCCGAAAGTGATGAACTTCCGATGAGAAAATATTCGTTGTCCAGCAGTTTTTAAACAAACAAAATGAGGTCAGCTGAAAATGTACTTCTTCGGTTGGCCACCAGAACTCAAGCGCCGGCCATGGTGATGGTGTGGGCCGCCATAACAGCCGATGTTTGGTTTCCGCTCGTATAATTCGATCGTGGCATCTGAATAAATGCCGAATATTATCGCGATAATATTCTGGAGGGTGTATTAAAGCCTTGGCTAGACTTTGTGCTGTCACACGTGGTAGAATCAGATGCCTCTCCACGTATTAAAAGTTCTTGTGAGTTAATATTTGGATTTGATTTAAAAATATCGATTCTACCAAGAGAATCGGACCGGGCATCGTTTTCTTCGTTAATTGTAATCAAGTAAAATATTTTACATTTTTTGGGCTCTAAATCGTTCAGTGTGAAATGAACAAAAAACAACATCAGTTGGGGAATTTTGAAATTCGCATACATTTTTGTAAATTAAAACAAAAATTTGTTGACGTTTTTTTTTTATCTCTCAAATAAAATATAATAATTTATTACATATTTGACATCTGTCAAAAATGCTATGTGTGAAGAATGAAAATGAGAAAACCCTCATCATCATTACCATTATCGTGATCATATGGAATTTTACGACTGAATCATATGAATAATTTTGAATATTAATTATATGTCTCATCGTCGTCATCATCTGCAGAATGGCGTCCAAAAAGAAATGAATGCAAACAGAAATAGCATAAACGTCGACCAACCAAGCCAAACAAACCAAAATCGTAAAATATGTTACAGTTTAAATTAGCTGAAAGAGAAACAACAAATAGTTTGGTCATGGGTCATTAATGTGTTTGGCTGTGGCGCCATCAGCTACAATTTTCAATACTATAAAATCAAGAGACGATTTAGTTAGATTATCATTCTCACTTTACAGTTCAAACAAATCGAATAGTTCGCGGTGGAATAATGCGTGCCTTCATCGTATTGTCGTTTGTAGCTGTGGCATGTGCCCAGTACAATTATCAACCAGTATCTTCGGGTTCGGATAACTTGGCAGGTGTTAATGGTGGCTTAGTCTCTCCATCTTCCAATTTACCCAGCGTTGCTGCTCCAGAAATCGAAAAGGAATTCTTCACCTACACCGCCAATGACAATGACTTCAACGATGCTTTCGATCCTCAACAGGCTGCCAATAATTTGAAGAAGGGTATTCGTGTCATTTTCATCAAGGGTCCCGAGAACAAGGGTCTTGAAGATGCTGCCGTTGCATTGGCCAAACAATCCGGCGAACAAAAGACTGCCATCTATGTGCTCAATAAACAGGCTGACATTGGCGATTTGGCTAACAAACTTAACAACCTCAACACTGGCAATAACCAAAGACCCGAAGTCCACTTTGTTAAGTACCGTACTCCCGAAGACGCTGCCAATGCACAACGTGCCATTCAAGAGCAATATAATGGTTTGGGTGGTAATACTAGAACTGTTAATGGTGGCGTTGCTCCAGTCTTGAACTTTGCTTCCCAAGCCCCTGCTGCCAGTTCAGGATCATCAAACTACGCTACTGCCCCATCCAACAGCTACATTCCCCCAGCTGCTGCCACACCATCTGCCAGCTATATCCCTCCAGCTGCAGCTACCCCATCTGCCAGCTATATTCCCCCAGCTGCTGCTACCCCATCAGCCAGCTACATTCCCCCAGCTGCTGCTACACCATCTGCCAGCTATATTCCCCCTGCAGCTGCTACCCCATCAGCCAGCTACATTCCCCCAGCTGCCAGTGAGCCATCCAGCAACTACATTCCTCCTCCAGTACCTGTTGATGAACCCAGCACCAATTACTTGCCTGCTTCCATTCTTCGTCTGTTCCGCCTTTAAAGTGCCAACTTTGGCCCAGAGGCAATTGTTAAGACTGAATCGAATCAAAAACTGATAAAAAAATCCATTTCGTGTTTTGTTCTTTATGAACGTTGTTGTTATTTTTGCACACATATATAGATAAATAAATATTGTTTTGTAGATAAAATTAAAATTTGTGTTCATAATTCTTTATTTGGAAGCACAAAACTAGGCTCGCATCAAAACACAGTAAATGTCATTCAAAATTGTCAAGAACATAAATTTCATATTTTATTTCAATCAAGATTGTATTCAAACCATTCAAACTATGTCTGCTCATCATCAGCTTTGAAGGACAACTACTTTTGGTCAAACACAGTTTGAACAACGTAAGCGGAATTCGTTAACTAAAACTTGAGCAACCTTTTGTCGAACGTTTTTACCTCTGCATGGTAATCCAGTTTGTCATTAAAAACTGTTGTCAAAAGTTTCAAAATATTGTGGTTTTAGGCTTGAAATTTAAGACTTGTATTTATTTCAAACACAACCTGAAAGAAAAGAAAGGTATATTGGTTTGAAAAATGATTAATAACATGGAAAAAATTTTAAAGTTAGGTTTAAAAAATTGTCAAAAATTTCCGACTTTGCGTATATTGTATTTAAAACATAAGCTTCATTTTTTCTGAAAAAAAGGATTCCAGCCACCCTGTTAGAGATATTTTGCCACTTGCTATACCCTCAGCCTTTATGGATCTTTTAAACCATAAGTCTATTTGTACAAAATGCGTTTAATGACATTTGGAGACGACTTTGCCGTTCCATCTGTCCTTCATCTGTCTGGCTGGTTATTCCGATCTCTCGAAGGGAGCTTTATGATTTGGTCCTAATCCAATAAAAATAAATATTTTTCCCAATTATAGACGCAGTTTGACGATGTGATGGCATGATCAATCGATTGCAATTTCAATCACGTTGTTCGCTATCAGAATTAGGTTGTTTCGTTTGTGGGCTGTTTGTACGAAGTTTTTGATTTTTTGCATCTTGTACCAACTGATTGTAAAGTTTGTGGGCATACCGCATACAATTTCATTTTGTGTTTATTATCGAAGAGACAACACCATTGTTGCGCACATCAAAACAAAGCGAAATCCGATCAAATGCGTGATTTTAATGAATAATAGGTATAATATTAATTTTATTATTTGCAAAAATTAATAATAAATAATGAGTCAATTGTAGGGCATGAAATTATTTCCGGTGTCATCTTAACTCAAATGAACCCTACGAAAAGTGAAGTTGTACACAAAGTTGTATCGTTTGTGGCCGAAGCATACAACTTGGTTACCCCCAAGTTGTACCAAAGGTATTATCGTGTGTTGCTTTCCTTTTTTCAAAATTTGTATTTGTTAGTTTTAATGGGAACTTGTGCGAAAACATTTGAAATGCGCTAGACGAGATTATTGTTTTTCCTCCAAAATTTTTTATCATTAATTTTACAACTTTATTCATGTCTTGAAATTTTTGTGCAAATGTTGACATTTTAAAAATATTTTTGTGTTTTTCCGTTTCCGTTAGGGTATAACCCTCCATCTTGGAAAGGAGGGTATACTAAATTTGCCATTCCGTTTGTAACACCTTAATATATTTGTCATAGAAAACATAAATTATATACAGGGTGAGATGAAAAAAAACCGCAACAAAGTCAGACGCCATAATTTTTACATATTTTTTAAATTTCATTGAATGGGATCAAAAATTGTCGGAAATAGCATCAAATGTTAGAGAAAGTTTAGATTTGTTCGAATTGGTCACCTTTGGCGCGAATTATGGCCTTCAAACGGTCAATGGCCCATTCCCGACGAAACGCTTGCTTGAGGTGATCGACACTTTGGTATTTTTTAGTACCAACCTTGCTTTCCAAAATACTCCAGACACAATAGTCCAACGGATTGGTATCCGAAGATTTTGGTGGCCATTGTGCGCTGGAAATGAAGCGAGGAACCTCATTTTGTAACCATTATTCGGTGGCACGTGCTGAGTGCAATGGTGCTGAGTTCTGTTGGAATGACCCAGGTCTGCGGCCAAAATGACTTTAATACACCCTACAGAATATTTTCACGATAACATTCGGCATTTATTCTGATGCCACGGTCGATTAATACGAGCGGAGAGCGAACATCGGCTGTTATGGCGGCCCACACCATCACCATGGCCTCATTTTCAACCATTATATATATGAAGGGTAATTTTTTAAAAGCTACAGGAACGTTTTTTATACTTTCCACAACTGCCGATTAGTCCTGTTATGGCATACTCTTTCCAACATTTCTGCCGGTATCTCACGTGAAAATGCTTATCTGTTGTCTTGCAATGTCGCAATTAAAGCGGATTCGCAATACAATATTTGGCTATATTCGTCACCGAAATCAGAATGAAAAAGCCAGAAGTTCACCTGTGTGTATTTCGGATATCTCCTAAGTAATGCTGGTATTTTTTTAACACAAAATTAGTGATCTATTGTACCCGCTGTCCAAAACTCTAACTTTATGCGAGATTTCGTGTCCTTTGATTTCTATTTGTGTCCTTTATAACGGCTGCAAAATCAGGAACATTTTTAGTTGTTGGTCCATTTCAACCCCAAATATATTGCGGACATCTTTGAAAACAATAGGCCTAGCCCTTCTGTGTCCAACCCTACCCTTGTCAACATTTTCGGAGGATCGGATGATATTTGCAATACTTATATAATATCCCCAACCTGTGTTGTAAGGTGAAAAAATATTACAAAATATTAAAAGTCAAATTGAAAAAATCGCATGCGATACAAAATATAAAAAATTAAAAAAATGTCACAAAATACTCAAAATCTATATTAACATCATTATTGATACCTTTTTATGCGATTTTTGTCAAGAGGGCACTCTGAATTAACAAAGTTTATCAAAATCGGTCCAGCCATTCTTGAGATATAAGCATTCTAACTAACATCCCCTTCCTTTGTATATACACATTGTATATATTTCGCTACATATATATAACCGTTACATTTACTATCGGCATTTACGTACCGGTCAGAATTGACCTGTTCGTCTATTTTTGATTTCGCTGGGATTAAAAATATTCGCGGTTTAATGGAAAATTTGAATATATTTAACACAAATGTTGAGGCCTATTTCACCCACTAAATATTACCCGATGACCATCAAAATTGCCCAGCCCTAAGCTCTAGCCCCATGCTAACTTCCGCTTTGATTGGTCTATAATTGCGACCTGTAGAGCAACTGCAGGAATCAAGATTTTTTTCAGTTTTTGGTCCATTTCAACACCTAAATATTATGCGATCATCTCCAAAAGAAATAGGATTCTATTCTGACCCTAGCCACACCTCCATTCTAAATTTCGTGAAGATCGGGTCATAATTGCGACCTGTAGAGTGATTTCAAATTAACATGGACAGACGGACGGACATACATAGCTAGATCGACTCAGCTCGGCGAGATAGGAAGATCCATATATACTTTCCTATGTGGGAAACCAATATTTCGTAGTGTTACATAATTTTTGGCCCAATTATAATACCCCCAACACATAGTGTTGTAGGGTATAAAAACTATTGGTACCATTAACCACTTTGCGGATAATGTTATTTTTGTATCAAATCTATTTCAACAAACAGTTTTGAAATAATTAAAGCCGATCATTTATAAATATATGACAAATTAATTAAAGAATAATATGAAAGAAAGTTAAGTCGGAACAATGATAATGCTTCAAAACAAACAGCAAATTAGTTTAATAAAAACATAAATAAAAAAAGTTCCGAAAATTCTTCGCATATTTTAGGGTATTTAAATTTGGATACAAAACTATAACTGACGTCGGGCATATCATAATGGAAATCTGATATAATTCATTGGGATAATGCTTATTCTGGTTTCGAGGAATCTGGATAGTTTTCATTTGCCATTGAATACTAAAAGATTAAACCTCTGTATAAAAGAACAAGACATTGCCTATGAAATTATTCAAACCTCGAAGTTTTGTACACATACCAAATAGCTAACGAAGCGAAAAATGCGTTCTCTGATTGTATTGTGTCTGGTGGCCACAGCTTGTGCCCAATATAATTATGGTGCTGGTATCAGTGGTGGAAATTATGGAGCAGCCAGTAGCGTAACTCCCTCTTTTGCACCTCAGAGTTCAACTGTAGAAAAAGAGTTTTTCACTTTTACTGCAAACGATGCCGATTTCAATGAACCCGCTGCCACAAACAACTACAACACCGCTGCCAAGCAAAATCTCCGTGTTATCTTCATCAAGGGCCCCGAAAACAAAGGTTTCGAAGATGCTGTCCTCGGTTTGGCTAAAAAGGCTGCCGAACAGAGGACTGCCATTTATGTGCTCAACAAACAACCTGACCTCGCTGGATTGGCTGAAAAATTGAAAAATGCCAACAACAATGTCAACCACAGACCCGAAGTTCACTTTGTCAAATACCGCACCCCTGAAGATGCCGCCAATGCTCAAAGAGCCATTCAAAGTCAATATGACAGTTTGGGTGGTACCTCTCAAAGCTTCAACGGTGGCGTTGCACCCGCCTTAAACTTTGCTTCCCAGGGATCTTTTAGCGCCAGTTCTGTTCCAGCCATTTCTTATGTTGCTCCTGCTTCTGGCGCTGCCTTGAGTCAAAGCTATTTACCAGCTTCACTTTTGCGTCGTCTCCGTCATAAATAATTTAGATGATTTTGCTATTGTACAAAACCCAATAAAACTAATTTATTTTTATTACAAAATTATTTTATTCCAATGTGATGAAATTATTTGTCATGGAATGGGCTATAGAAAATTCAATGCTAGATTAATACCATTAGGTCAGTAGGGCAAAACAAGGCAAAAAGGTTCTGTGTCTCAGGCCAGGGTACCATTAAATTGAATACATCTCAATATTGAGCATATATCTCTCGGCTGATAAAACTACATGGGGCTGATTGGTTCAACTACGCAATGTCAGAATTTAAGGAGCTATAGCCATTTTTCCTCTTTAAGAAATTAAATTGAAAAACATGCCAGGAATATTGAAGGAGTTGTGAACATTTTAAAATATGTTATTTTTCATCATTAAAAAACTCAATGAAAAACCAGTAAAGAAAGTCTTAAAGTAGGGCGGGCCGACTTTATGATACCCTACACCACTTTGCTAATTTAGTAGAGCTCCACATAACAATTAAAAGTTTTTATGGGAGAATTCAATTATACACACTATGACTATAATTATAATTTAAGGTTCAAAAGACTAAATATGCCGAAGCATTTGTACATTTTACGTTCGGATGGGTCTATCTTGTTTCCTTTTGCCTGTTACCAACAAATGCAAAAAGACATAATACCCTGACCACCTTGTCGTTTAGGGTATAAATATGCTAAAAACCTCGGTTTTTATACCCTGCACCATAGTATAGAGGGTATATTAAGTTTGTCATTCCGTTTGTTACACCTCGAAATATACATTTTAGACCCCACAAAGTATATATATTCATGATGAGCATACAATTCTATGTCGATTTATCAATGCCCGTCTATCCGTCTGTCCGCCTGTGGAAATCATTCTAGCTTCCGAACAAAATGAAGTAGGTTGATAAAATTTTACTCAAATGTGTACTATGTCTGCAGGACTTTTGGTATTGAAAATGGGGCATGTAGGTCCACGTCTTCATATAGCCCCCATATAACGGTACCTGCCGATATGCGGTATTTTGATGATTCTAGCGACATTTTTTACCGGAATTGTTCCAAAATTAATATTTAAAGTTCGTAACAGATGCTACGTCTGAAGACAAAATGGGCCATGTATGTCCACGGCTTCGTATAGCCCCCATATAACGGTACCTCCCGATATTCGGTGTTTTCATGATTTTAGCGACATTATTTACCGGAATTGTTTCAAGTTTCGCATTTGAAGTTCGTAATGGATGTTACAGCCTATGACAGAAAATTGTCTGTGAGAATCCACGTTTTATATTCCGTATTTTGATGTTTTTAGCTACATTATAAACATTTAGATAGACCCTAATATAATAGCTACATTCGGTATTTTTAAGATTCTAACAGAAGTTTTAATGGATTTTATTGTTTTTGAGAATTGCCAAATTCGTTCCAAATGGTGGAGAGTATTCAAAGCCGAAACAGCCAACATTTTTTGACGTAGAGCGTCAAAATTTAGAGAACAATTTGTATTGTGTCTAGGATGGTTGGGATTCAAAACGGAAAATATATCGGTCCATGTTTTGTGATAGCCCCCATATAACGGTACATCCTGATATTCGGTATTTTGATGACTTTTGTCACATTTTCCCAAGAATTTGTTTTAAATTTGGTATTTTTGGGTCTTAATGGGTTCTAGCTCAGGTGGCGAAACATTGTATGTATAGGTCCACGTTTCGGTATAGCCCCCATACAACGGCACCTCCCGATATTCAGTGTTTTGATGATTTTTTCAAATATTTAAAGGGATTTGTCCAGAAATTAATATTTTTAGTGCGTAGTGGGTTGTAGCTCATGTGGCGAAACATTGTATGTGTAGGTCCACGTTTTGGCATAGCCCCCATATAACGGTACCTGCTGATGTTCTATGTCCACCGATATTCGGTATTTTCATCATCCCAGTCACATTTGGTACTTTAGAACATTTGATAGATGGCAATCCTTGAAGTATAAAATTGTCTACAGGGGTCCCCTTTTTGGTATGTTCCCATAAACGGCCTCACTTACTTTATGTTTTTTTTTTTTTAATAAGTTTAACTGCATTATTTGAAGGTCCTACTGGTGTATGAATATTAAAGTGAAAAACGCTTGAATTCAGATACTTTTATTTAAAAATGTTTCCTTTACCCAAAGTTGGAGGGTATTAAAATTTCGACCCGGCCGAACTTAATGTATTTTACTTGTTATCCTTTAAATTTTGTGTGACCGCGTTAAATTTTTTAGTTTCGCCACCACATTATTCGGTGCTACACTTCAATGAAGCCGACTGCAATTTCCGTTCTCAAAAATAAAATTCAACAAATACAATCCAATTGAAAAAAACCCCGTTTGTACACGATGAAATATTGCATTTTTTGTTCGTATCTTAATTTTCCTCTTAATTTGCACTACTTTGAATGGTAGTTAATGTTAACGAATGGAATTGTTTGATTGCAAAACACAAAAATGATATAGGTAATAGGAAGAGTTAATGGATAATCCCAAATTTACTCTTGATATAGCGTTACTTGAAAAATTATAATATAGAAGAAAATCTTGCAATAAATGTGAATTTTATAAAATTTTACTTATTTGGTTAATTGCTTGGCTTAAGGTCATTAAAAGACTATGTTTTTATTTTTGAATTTTTCCTTTTTTATTCATCTAATATTTGATTTCCTCCGGAAATCATCTTCAGGGATCTGTTTTACAAAAACACAAATTACAAACTGTTTTTAACAATATATAACACAATAAATAACATACATTTTTAAAGTAAAAGCTCGTCTATTGAGTTTAAATGTCACTATCAAACTAAGTTTTCTTTCGTCGGTGTTTATGATCTAGGCTTCTGTAAATGTGAGCACAATGATCTGTATCGGTTTTATAATTAATTCGTTTGTCATTTGGTAAACTTATAATATGTAACATTTCCAATGTAAATCGTCTTTTGTAATTATTTTCTTGTGCTAATATGTCAACGGCTTTAAGGTCGGGTTTATGTCCTGTCAATGTGCAGCTAAAGCAGTCTTCTGTTCGAGAGGCTTGTCACTTTTTTGATCCGATTTATGTCCGGAAAGTCTAGTTTTTAATTTCGTCTTTGTCGTGCCGACATATGACTTTTGGCATACGTCGGCGTCGTCCCCATTACATGTTATCCTATGAACTACATTGCACTTGTCCTCGTTCTTAATTTTAGATTTTGTTTTACTAATCAGACTTTCGACATTATTACGTAATTTAAACGCTAATTGATAGTGGTCCTTATTATAGATGTTTGATTTACCAAGCCTTTCTGAGAATCCCGGGATGTAAGTAACAGCTTTATATATCTTTTCTTGTCTTGCCTCCTTTATTTGGTCCGTTTTTGCGTTTATAATTAGGTCGTCAATGGTGCTTTTTGGAAAATCATTTTGGTTTAATATGTGGCGTATTTTTCTTTCGTTCTCTGAGTGGAATTGTTCGTCACTTATATTGAAAATCCTTTTGATAAAATTAATCACTGTGTTTATTTTTATTCGTCGAGGGTGTTTAGAATAAAAGTTAATCAATCGTCCTGACGCCGTTGGTTTTTGGTACCAATCTAATATAAGTTTTCTTCCTTGTCTGATTATTATTGAGTCCAAATAGGGTAGTCTGTCATTTTTCTCAAGTTCGTGTGTAAATTGTATGCTCGGGTTGAATGCATTAAGGATATTTAATGTGGTGTTGATATCTGATTTCTTCATTATACAAAAAAATGTCGTCTACGTATTTAGTTACTGCTCTCGGCTTTGTCATCAGTTTTTCTAAAGAAGCGTCCAATAATTCCTCCATTACGATGTCAGCAATGATCGGTGACGCTGGTGATCCCATAGGGAGTCCTTTTTGTTGTTCGTACACCTTGTCTGAGTATATGAAATATCTGCAGTCCTTTATACAAAAGGTCAGTATTTCTTTAAAAACTTCTTTAGGTATTTTCGTGTATTTTTGTAAAATGTTCCACTTTTCATCTATTGTTCTTAAAGCTAGGTTAATCGGTATGCTGGGAAACAACGAAACTACATCAAATGTATTGTGTTATATATTGTTAAAATCAGTTTGTAATTTGTGTTTGTTGTAAAACAGATCCCTAAAGATGATTTCCTGAGGAAATCGAAATATTGGATGAATAAAAAAGGAAAAATTCAAAAATAAAAACATAGTTTTTTAATGACCTTAAGCCAAGCAATTAACCAAATAAGTAAAATAAATATAACAGGTCAACAATATACAACAACAACATTTTATAAAATTTATAATTTTTCAAACTTTATCCCCATATAGGTAATTTACCAGAAGGAGTGGATTAATATTATTATTTCTCTCTTTCTTTGAGACATATCATTTGTATAATTTTAACAACTTGTAGGCGAACCAGAACCATGCATATATCCTTAATGTTTTAGGTGGATATTTGAATTATATTTAACGCCAAAGTCGTGCGTGCCTTAAATTAAGGAATTTCGGAAAGCCCAATAACTAACATATTATCCCGTCTTGGTCAATCGGTATAGAATGTCTTTGAAAATAATACAAAATTGGTATTCGCAACTATCTGACGAACCTGTTCCGCCCACCTTATAGTTTTAAAAAACTTTATAGTCGTATTAATCGATTTGCCTATACGTAGTCATTCGCAATTCAACAAAGATGTTATGGTTGAAGAGAAAACTAAATTATTTAAATTTTATATCAGAATCATGATTTTCATATTTTTTTAACAAGATTTGGGATATTCCAAACTATTCGCATTATTAAATAATTGTCATTAATTCTGCTATAATTATTTTTTTTTCAATTTGAAATATTTTTTATGACATGAGCTAAAAATAAAATGTCATAAAAAGAAACAAACTAATTAAGAAAAATATTAAAGAAAGTTCCAAAAGCAAACAGCATTAAACCGGCTTAGAAGCAATTGCCGAATTTGATGTGACGAAAAACCATAAATATTTCTCAAAAGAACTAATTACTTTTTTGACCATTAAAGTCTGATGGATATTTGCCATAATTCACCGAGGATAATAACAATTCTAGTTTCCAAGAATGTAGATAGTTTTGTGCAAAAATTTGAGGGTGGAAGAAGAGTTGTTGTTTTTACAAAATCGAACGCTTGTATAAAAGATGAAAGCAATGCATTTCAAATTCATTCTTCATTCGAGTTTTCGTATTAACAACAATAATCAAACAAGGAAGAGGAGAAAATGCGCGTTTTCATTGTATTGTGTTTGGTGGCTACAGCTTGTGCCCAATATAATTATGGAGCTGGTACCAGTGGTGGAAATTATGGAGCTGCCAGTAGCCTAACTCCCTCCTTTGCTCCTCAGGGTTCTACGCTCGAAAAGGAGTTCTATACATTCACTGCCAACGATGCTGATTTCAACGAACCCGCTGCCTCCAACAACTACAACACCGCTGCCAAACAAAATCTCCGTGTTATCTTCATCAAAGGTCCCGAAAACAAAGGTTTCGAAGATGCTGTCGTTGGTTTGGCTAAAAAGGCTGCTGAACAAAGTACTGCCATTTATGTGCTTAATAAACAACCTGATCTCGCTGGACTGGCTGATAAATTGAACGCTGTCAACAACAATGTCAACCACAAACCCGAAGTTCACTTTGTCAAATACCGCACCCCTGAAGATGCCGCTAATGCTCAAAGAGCCATTCAAAGTCAATATGACAGTTTGGGTGGTACCTCTCAAAGCTTCAACGGTGGTGTAGCTCCAGCCCTGAACTTTGCTTCCCAGGGATCTTATAGTGCCGGTTCTGCTCCAACCAATTCTTATGTTGCACCTGCCTCTGGTGCTGCCTTGAGTCAAAGCTATTTACCAGCTTCACTTTTGCGTCGTCTTCGTCACAAGTAATTTAGTTAATATTTTTGGGCATTATGTGGGATAAGTTAAATTGTCGATATTGTTATAGCGAATCGAATAAAATTCATTTATTATTTTAATGGGTTCTAATTGATTGTTTTTTTTTTTTTTGTGATCTTTAAATTACTGTATAATGTGTATAATTGTTTATGCCAGCATTTCATCGGCAGTCGAAAATGGAAACCAGAAGAAGGCAGTTACTAGAAGCCGAGTTAAATTGGGTTTCTCTAAAAGCAAAGATTTCTTTCTACTGTTCATGCGATATTCTGATAAGTTGAAAGTAATAACTGAACAATACCATTCATAATTCAAGCTAATTGGTGTTACTTAGTTTCGTGATCATTTAAAATAAACAAGTGCTGAAGTAGTGTAAAGCGTGTGTGAGTTTGTTAATTTTGCTTTACTTTTTGCGATAATTTTGTGATGTTCGAGCATTATGTAGCATGCGAGTAACGATTTCTTTTTTATTAGAATGAAAAATGTTTACGTTTTCATTCAAATTGTCCGTTAGAGTAACAGGTAAAAACAGACATTTACCGAAACCCAAAAATGAGGAACAGCTTTTAAGGTAAGAACATTATGATTTTAATAAAATATATTTGTTATTTAGAAGCATCCTTCGTAAAGTGAGAAGAAAAGTTGGATATATTTCTAGTTATACCCTACAACACTATGTGTTGGGAGTATTATAAGTTTGATTGGGCCAAGAATTATGTAACACACGCGAAATATTGATTTCCCACATAGGAAAGTATATATGGATCTTCCTATCTCGCCGAGCTGAGTCGATCTAGCTATGTATGTCCGTCTGTCCGTCTGTCCATGTTAAATTGAAATCATTCTACAGGTCGCAATTATGGTCCGATCTTCACGAAATTTAAAATGGAGGTGGGGCTAGGGTCAGAATAGAACCCTATTTCTTTTGGTGATGATCGCATAATAATTAGGGGTTGAAATGGACCAAAATCTGAAAAAATTCCTGATTTTGCACTTGCTCTATAGGTCGCAATTATAGACCAATCTACGCGGAATTTCGCATGTAGCTAGAGTTTAGGGCTGGCAAGAAGCCTACCCATTTGGGTGGTCATCGGATAATATTTAGCGGGTAAAATAGACCATATCTTTTTTGTTGAAAAAATTCAAAATTTTTCATTAAACCGCGAATATTTTAAATCCCGGCGAAATCACAAAGCCATGACAAGGTTACTTCGATCTTTACATTGATGTTAACATCCAAAAAACGGATATATAGCAAAATATGTGCGATATATATGTTTATCAAAGAAGATATGCTTGAAAAATCTCTTATATGTCGAGAACGGCTGAACTGATTTCGACAGTTCTCATTAATTCAGAATGGCCTCTTGGCAGGAAACATAAAACGTCTAAAAAAATCGCATAAAAATATCTCTCTAAAGATGAAAATATTGATTTTGTAAAATTTTCTCATATTTTTTCAATTTTGTCATATTTTTGGCATATTTTCATTTTGAATTAAACATTTGGTAATAATTCTACAGCTAACAAAACTAAGTAGTTAGGATATCAGGATATCATATACAGATCGCATTTATGGCCCGATCCTTACGAAATTTTGCATGGAGATAAGATGAGGGTCAGAATAAAAGCCTATTCTTTTTGGAGATGATCGCCATATCGGTTGAAATGGACCAAAAAACTGCAAAATCAGCAGGTCGTAATTATGGGGGTTACCGGACATTGCAAAAGCCAAGCAGTTTTGGATGGCCATCCAAAAATATTCAATGTGTGAAATAGTTTGCCAACTTTTGTAGACAAAATACGAAAAGGTCCATTCCAGAGACTTTTTCGAGAATTCACAAATACAGGAAAGACGCACTTCTGACTATTTCGTTAACGAATATAGTCAAATGTCTGTATCTCATATAGATGCATTTCAATCAAAAACCAATAATAAATGTTAATCTTTTGCCACTTCTGAGAAATTATAGGTCTTTGGGAAATATTGGTTCCAGATCTTGGAAGACCATTTAAGTGCAACATCTACCAATAAATAGGAAATGAGCAAATTAGTTTAAGTTGCTATTATTTGAAAATTAGAGAACGAAACCTGATGGATTTCTTTTATTATTTGTCACAATATCTTGTGGAATTCTTTCGAGTATCTCGCCTATATAAACAGTATTGTTTATTATAGTGTTGTAGGGTATTCAACTGTCGGCCCCTCTCGACTATAGCCTTTGCTTACTTGTTATTCACTACAACACTACGTGTTGAGTGCAAAATAAGTTTAAGTCGACCAAAAAGTTTGTAACACTTCGAAAAATTGGTCCTTGGTCCTGACCTGAGACGATCTAACTACACGTTGTCGATCGATACGTTGGTCGATATAACCCATCTTCGAACTTGACCTGACTGCAGACAAAAGACAAATGTGCAAAATTTTAGTTTCCTCTTACATGTCATTTGTGATTGATACAATTGACGGACGGACATGGCTAAATCGACTTAGAATTTTACGCCGATCGAGAATATATATTCTTTGTTTGTCATAAAAATGCTCTCCAAACTGTGTATTAGAGGGTATACAAATTCTGTTGGAGAATTTGGTGAATATCGGTAGGCACGATTATAAAGGGTAATTTTTAAGCTAGTACCCTTTTGGCAACACTGAACAGTGGTAGACGTCGTATGGAAAGAGCGGCAAAAAATACTTTTAGTGCAGATATCAATATGAATATTTGGTTATGGTACCTTGATGGGATAAAAATAAAAATGTGACAAAATGGATATAGTCGGTGCATGTTTTGACATGGTCCCCTTACAACGTACCCCTGGAATAAGAGTTACTTGCTCAACTCTTGTCATATTTCCACATCAGATTGTTCTGTTATTTGACATTTTACATTCTAAAGAGTTAAAGAATAATCTTACTGAAATTTACTTGGAACGGCCCTACATAAAAGAAGTATTTTTCATACAAATAAATTCAAATATTATTTTTTTCACATTTTTTGTATAAACAAGTAAAAAAAGCTGAAAGTTCGGCCGGGTCGAACTTTGAATGCCCTTCACCATTTGGAACGAATTTAGCAATTCTCAAAAACAATAAAATTCGTTAAAAATTCTGTTAAAATCTTAAAAATAGCGAATGTAGCTGTTACATTAGGGTCTATGCGACAACATGGACCTGCATAGGTAACTTTTGTCATAAGCCATTACAATATTCAAATGCGAAACAAAAAAAACAAGCAAGTAAGCAAAGACTATAGTCGTACGGGGCCGACCCTACAACACTACAATATGTTAGAAGCCCCCTTATGTCCGAATCCATTTTGGAATATTTCGCTTTTAAAATTATGTCATGGAGCACAGCCCTGATATTACTCTTAGCGTTTTGACTAGGGACATTTACCCAATATCTCACTCAATCGTGCTGTTAGTTGTTGTGGTCCATTTTACAGCTACATATACCAATGGTTATACAAAATTCTTCCCTGTTCTTAACTCTCTTCAATTGTGTGAGCAGGAAATTTTTTCTGTTTTTGGTTCATTTGAACCCCTAAATATTTTGCGATCAACTCCAATAGCAAGAGGCCCCTCTGTATCACCAAATTTAAACTCATCTATATGATTTGCTTGTCTACGATATCTGGCTTCAAAGTCGTGGTCGAAAACTCGAACTTCATGCGAGATTTTCTTTAGATTCAATTTGTTAGCTTTATAACGGCTGCAAAATCAGGAATATTTTTGGTTGTTTGTCCATTTCAAACCCTCAATATATTGCGGACATCTTTGAAAAAAATAGGCCTAGCCATTCTGAGCCTTTTTCGTGAGGATAGTTGCAATCTGTATATAATAACCCCAACCTGTGTTGTAAAATGAAAAACTATTACAAAATGTACAATTCAATATTATAAGTCAAATTGAAAAAATCGCATGCGATAAAAATATGAAAAAATAAAAAAATGTCACAAATACTGCAAAATCTATATTAACATCATTATAGACATCTCTTTATGCGATTTTTTTAGATTTTATGCTTTCATGTCAAGAGGGCATTCTGAATTGACAAAATTTGTCGAAATCGGTTTAGCCAATCTTGAGATATAAGCATTCTAGCTAACATCTCCCTCCTTTCTATATATACATTGTATATATTTCGCTATATACATCCGATATATTTACTATCAGCATCTACGTAACGGTCAGAGTCGATCTGTTCGTCTATTTGTGATTTCGCCGGGATTAAAAATATTCGCGGTTTAATAGAAAATTTGAAATTTATATAACACGAATGTTATGGTCTATTTCACCCACTAAATATTATCCGATGACCATCAAAATTGGAAGCTCTATCCTCATGCTAACTTCCGCTTCGATTGGTCTATAATTGCGACCTATAGAGCAGCTACAAAATCATAAAATTTTCTGTTTTTGGTCCATTTCAACCCCTAAATATTATGCGATCATCTCCAAAAGCAATAGGTTTCTATTCTGGCCCTACCCCCACCTCCATTCTACATTTCGTTAAGATCGGGCCATAATTGCGATCTGTAGAGTGATTACAAATTAACATAAACAGACGGACGGACGGACATACATTGCTAGATCGACTCAGATCGGCGAGATATGCAGATCCATATATACTTTCCTATTTGGGAAACCAATATTTCGAGGTGTTACATAATTTTTGGCCCAATCAAACTTATAATACCCCCAACACATAGTGTTGAAGGGTATAAAAATCGGTGAATAATGTAGCTAAAATCATCAAAATACCGATTATCGGGGGGTAGCGATATATGGTTATACGAAGATGTGGACCCGCACAGACAATTTTTTTCATAGGCTGTAGTATCCATTACGAACTTCAAATACGAAATTTCAAACAATTCCCGTAAATAATGTCGCTAAAATCGTCAAAACACCTAATATTGGGGGGTACCGTTATATGGGAGCTATACGAAGTCGTGGACCTGCACCGACAATTTTCTCTCATAAGCTGTAGTATCCATTACGAACTTCACATACCAAATTTGAAACAATTCCGGTGAAAAATATCGCTAATATCATCAAAATACCGAAT